GTGGTATCTCAGAGTTGTTTTGATTTGCATTTCCCTGATGATTAGGGATGTTGAGCAATTCCTTAAATGTCTTTCAGCCATTTGAGTTTCCTCTGTTGAGAATTCCCTGTTTAGTTCTAAAGCCCATTTCTCAATTGAACTGTTGGTCGTTTTGATATCTAATTTCTTGAGTTCCTTATATATTCTGGATATCAGTCCTCTGTCAGATGTGGGGTTGGTGAAAATCTTTTCCCATTCTGTAGGCTGTCTCTTTGCCTTGTTGACTGTATCCTTTGCTCTACAAAAGCTTCTCAGTTTCAAGAGGTCCCATTGATTGATTGTTTCTCTTAGTGTCTGTGCTACTGGTGTTATATTTAGGGAGTGATCTCCTATGCCAATGTGTTCAAGACTACTTCCTACTTTCTCTTCTAGCATGTTCAGAGTAGCTGGATTTATGTTGAAGTCCTTGATCCACATGGACTTAAGTTTTGTGCACGGTGACAGATATGAATCTATTTGCAGCCTTCTACACGTTGATATCCAGTTATGCCAGCACCATTTGTTGAAGATGCTTTCTTTTTTCCATCGTACACTTTTGGCTTCTTTGTTAAAAATTATATGTTCATAGGTGTGTGGGTTAATGTCAGGGTCTTCAATTCAATTCCATTGGTCCACATGTCAGTTTTTATGCCAAGACCAAGCTGTTTTTATTACTGTAGCTCTACATTGGAGCCTGAAGTCAGGGATTGTGATGCCTCCAGATGTTGTTTCAAGGGACGAGGGAAAGAGACCAGGAGATCCCAGCTGGATCAAGAACAGCGAGGGAGAACAAGGAATAGGAGTCCATGGTAAATGAAGACCACATGAGAAAAGGAAGAAACAAAGTGCTAAAGAGGCCCACAGAAATCCACAAAATACCCCCACAAAAGACTGCTGACAATGGCCAAGAGACGGCCGGAACTGACCTACTGTGGTGATGGGATGGCCAAACACCCTAATAGTTGTGCAAGAAACTCCATCCAAGGACTGAGGAATCTGGATGCAAACATCCACGGCTAGGCCCCAGGTGGAGTGCTGCAAGTCTAATTAGCAAGAAAGAAAAGGGTTTATATGAGCGAGAATTGTTGAAACCAAGGTTGGATAAAGCACAGGGACAAATAGCCAAATGAATGGAAACACATTAACTATGAACC